ACCTTAAGGTACTTGCAATATTTTTTGAGAACCTCAGATTAATGGATTATATAGATTTTGATACTCCAAAAATAAAGGTACTAAACAATGAGAAAATCAAGTGTATTAGAAATAACTTCATGTTTGCTATCATGAAGTAAGAGTGAGAAAATAAAAGAATGCAGGCACAGCTAGAGGGCAGAATTTAACCCAATGGGTCTAAGAACAATTGACGGAAATCACCACAAATATAAACTGGACACTTCTTAAATGCCTAATTCTGAGATCCAAGCTAAGAAGAAAGAAAAAGAAGAGTAGGAAGAGGCTGATTGGGGTGGGGTTCTAGACTCTCAATTAGGAAAGACGTATTCACTGAGAATTAAAGGATGGGAGAGAAAAAGCTAAAGATATGGGGTTAAAGAGGGAACTTGTAGGAAGTGGTGCTATGGCTCAAGTGGTCCAGTGTTTGTCTTAAGCTGAAGTGCTCAGCAACAGCACCAGGCACAAGCCCCATGACCGATCAAACAAAAAACTGTGTCAGGAAAGAGGAAACTTGTAGTATAAAAATCAACATTCAAATTTATCCTTCAGATCAATCCCTTTTGGAAAAAAAAAAAAAGTGGTAAGTGATTATAAGAGAAAGGCAAACACCTCTATCAAGTTTTCTTCCTAGCTCAGTCCAATTGATATCTCTTGTAGATTCTCTCCATCTACTCTCCTGTGCCTACCTGTTGTAGTTTTCTGCAAATTCCTCTAGGCTCTATTTTTTTTTTGGGTCCGGTCGTGGGGCCTGAACTCTGGGCCTGGGCGCTGTCCCTCAGCTCTTCAGCTCAAGGCTAGCGCTCTACCCCTTGAGCCACAGTGCCACTTCTGGCTTTTTTCTTTTTGCTTATGTGGTGCTGAGGAATCGAACCCAGGGCCTCAGGCATGCAAGGCAAGCGCTCTACCACTGAGCCACCTTCCCAGCCCATAGGCTCTATTTTTTTCCTAAGGCTTCCTAAAAGAACTTAACCACTAGGATTTAACACTTGAGAAGTCATGTGTAAGTTCAAGTACATGGTACTGTCTTTCCATGTTTTAAAATATGTAGTCTAGTTACAGCTTCATAATATCCACCTTAGAACAATCCAGTACTTGACAATGAAATCGTTATGCAAAAAGTCACAACCAACATTTTGGCCTACACATCCCATATCATTTCCTCATATATAATTTTAACTCTTAACTATATAGAAGTACTTACAATTTACAAGAAGATTGAATTACTTGTTTCTTTTAGCTTTAAGAAAAAATTGATAACCTGATTTAGTCAGTCAACTTAGTCAATAGACAGCCAAGTTTTACAAGGAGAGGCCAGTCCAATATAGCCCTGCAAATTAGCAGTCATTCTACAAATTAGCAGTCAACAGTAATTCCCCAGACTCATCCAGCTGCTGTCTCTACCAGTCCATTAACCTGACTGGCTGCCTTCTTATACCCTATGAATAACTCTTCCATAGAAGACATTTAGTAGTCTGAATATTAAATTAGATTTGATAATCTCATTATTAAATGTCAACATTTAATGTTAATAATTTAATTTTGATATTAGCAATGTAGTCATGATCATATTAACAATATTTACCATTTCTTAAGTACTTACTCAATCTGTTTTTATGTAGTTTACCTACTGGCCTCAGGAATATTTATATCTACCACAACATATAGATTTTAAAGAACAAAACTATAATCCTTCTGAAAGTCAAATGACCCTTACACAGGGGACATTCTTTAATCATAGTTTATAGCAAAGATACCAAGATAAAGTGTGGGTGAAATTTAAAGTTAATTTATTAATATTTTAACACTCTAAAATCCTGAATAAACTTTCAAGTATTGTGTTTGCTAACTAATTAGTAAGAATTAAAGACAAAAAGACAGTATTTTGACAGTGTATCTTCTAGACTCAATGTGTGCCAATTTTTCAAAAATTCAAATTTGTTTCAGTAACATGCAAGATCAATGTTACTATAACAACAACACAAATTCATAATAGATAAATGAAGTATCAGTTGTATCTTTTTGTAATAGAATATTCAAATTATTTTTCTAGGTAGAGAACCTCTACTCTTAGTTTGGGAAAACAAAGATAATAGCCAACATTTTCCTTTTTCCCTCTCATTATTTAAAATGTCTAGGAAATAGCTTCCTTTTCCCACACAAAACTCCCTTATGCACATCTTCCTGAAGTGAAAAAGAAAAGAGGAGGGAGGAGGGAGAGAGAGTGAAGAAAATATATCCTTACATAACCACATCCAGGAGAACAGGAAACGGTATATTTAACAAGAGAAACATTTTCTCTATAGATAAATGACTTTTACCATTTCCCACCCAAAAAAGAAAAGCAGGTTTACCAATGGGTTCTCATTGACCACAGCTTCCTGTGTTTTTTGTTCTCTCAAAGATCATAAATTTAGTTGGCATTGCTTTACATCCCTATTTTGGGTATCTAATTAGGTTATTTTCTACTTTTCAATGTAAGAAAAAAATCCATTTATAATTAATAATAATTTTTTTGAAAAATAATAGCACAGAGTTAAAATTAACAAACATCTCATCTGCATTGATGCTTTTGAGAACTATATTTAAGTATAATCCATACCCAATGTTATTAGAAAAAAGACTTTAAAATATATACATCCTATTGTATAAACTTGTATTCCTTGTATTGTTCTTTTGATATAATTATTATTGTAATCAGTAGCATTCACATGAGTTATATAGGAAACTATGTTATTAACTGCTTTAATCCCTTTTAGCTATAGCATCATGTCTACCATGAATACATCTTCAAGCAATTACTTTTTGAAAATTTGAAACATTATAATTTTAGTACAAAGAATCAGCTCCCTACTACCTATAAATTAGTAAATATTATATAGGTAAAATGTCAACTGAGCAGTATCAATTTTTAACACATTAAAATCAATTTAAAAGCATTGATTCATAGTATAACTTAGATATGTTTATTCCCAAAGATCATTGTGATTCAGTGATTGAACATGTGTATTTATTATGTAACCTTTATGGGTTAGAGTACAAAATAATGTTCATTTTACAAAAAAAGGTTAAATGAAACAAATTGGTAATATAATTTACACTTTTAAGAAATATTAATTCATGAATAATGTGTATGTGTTACTTTATAAGTAGAAGTCATATAATCAAATTGTGAGATTATAAATTTCCTGTTTTTTAGCTAAAACCTACTAAATATGAGTCATATTGTATTTTTATGTCATTAAAATATTAATAATACTAACTAAAATAAGGCTTTTTTCTCAATTTCTTGTCCTCACTCATTTCTAGCTTTCTACATAACTAGTTTCCTTTTGTAATTTAATTTTTAAAATGTACTATTTTTAAGATTTTTATATAACCTGCTTATGCCTGTAACTTAAGGGCCTTAGATAAAATACAAAGTTCAGTTACATGTTTTCTAGGTAGCTAAATTGGCTCCTAAACCCTTTTCAATCTGCCATATTTAATTATTTCCATTGTTTGCTTTGGTATAAAGAAAAAAATTTAAGGCTCTTTAATCTTTAAAAAAATATATATATATATTTATTATAAAGATATGTACAGAGGGGTTACAATTATATAAGTAAGGTAATGAATACTTCTCTTGTCAAACCCTACTATCCCTTTTCTCCCTACTGCCCCAACGCCTCCCTTCCCCCAAAATTGTAAAGTTTGTTTCCAATGTAGTGTCTTGTACATCTCATTGTCACAATGGGTCAACCTGTATCCTTGTTTCAGCATTTTATTTCCCTTCCCCTCCCCAAATTTGAAAAATGTATATACAACATGCAGGGGACCTGAATCAACTACAGTGAAAATAGAGATTATACCTTGAGGGAAGAACATACAAAAACAAAAACAAGTCACACAGTGCATTATAAGTACATTAAAAACAACAGCAACAAAGACAAAACCTCTGTGTCCCTATCTTGGGGTTCATTCATATGACCATATAAGATGATGCTAAGTGAAATGAATCCCAAGAGCTCTTTCATGCTAAATCTACTATCTTTATTTTCAGTGTCTTAAATTTCCATATTATAATTTTAATCTTGTTTCGTATTTCTCTTTTATTTATTTATTTGTTTATTTTTTCTGTGTGTGTGTATGTGTGCTGTACTGGGGGTTGAACTCTGAACCTAGTACTCCTTAGGCAGAAGCTTTTACTTCTGAGGCACAATTTCATCCCTGTTTTCTGCTGGTTATTTTTGGGATAAGGTCTCTTTCTGCCTGAGCATATGCCTGAGCTCAATCCAGCTTTTAGGCTTCCCATTATAGATGGGACACCAGGCCCATGTCATTGCATCCAGCATCTATTGCTTCCTTTGAGATGGTATCTTGAGATCTATTCTGCCTGGGCTGGCCTCAAACTTGGACCCTCCCATCTCCACCTCCCAAGTAGTATGGATTACAAGCATTATCCACCAGTACTTGGAAAGTCTTAGCATCTTTAAAAAGGCTTTTTCAGGACCGTGGTTCAGTGGTAGACAGATGTCTAGAATGTACGAGGCCCGGCTTTCATCCCTAGCATTACAAGAAACAAAGTGTCATATGAAATGTGAATATTTTGAAATTTTACAGAATGTAACAATTGATATAAATTGCTAACCATTGGAAGTGTTACATAGACAGGCCACTTATCCTTTGAGCTGATGTTTTGGAAAACATATGTAACTGTAACCCCTCTATACAGTATTTTTACTATAAAAAGTATATTTTTTAAAAAGCCAGAATTGAGAAGGTAAATGAATGTAAGTATTTGGCTAGTCAATAGTTCTATAGCTTTTCCCTCTGCTTTAAAAATTGTAAGAACTTAATATTGTCTATTGTTTTGACTCTTCAATAAATGCAATATTGACATTTAAATTAAGCCATTCTTAGCTAAGTTTCAAAGACTTCAGGCATTTTGAGAGCCAGTGATAATGATAATTCTTATTCATGTTTTGTTTTTTTTTTTGCAGTTTTGCTTAAGGGAGGAAAAAGAGAGGAAGAAAAACCATTTAGAGACTGTGCAGATGTATATCAAGCTGGTTTTAATAAAAGTGGAATCTACACTATTTATATTAATAATATGCCAGAACCTAAAAAGGTAAAAATCAGAAGTGTTTGTTTATAAGATGTAAATCAATCCTAGGTGAAATACTAGAAATCACATTATGAACTTGTTAACCTGGATGTATCTACTTACCTTGTCTATCTATATGTATATGTGTATATGTATATACATTCTTATGAATATATAGATGGATACAATATTGCATACATGCACAATATTCTCTCTATATGTCTCAGCTTTTTTCTCTCAAAGATACTGTTTCTAGGGTCTATTAGTGGTAGAGTTTTGTCTGTGATTCTTAGGATATCTCATTGCTTAGAAGAGTTTATGTTTCAGATTATATATTGAGGTCACATTTACTTTAAATATGTGGAGAAGAGTTAGGAGTCCTCCCAAATCTCAGTCCTCCCAAAATCTCAAAGGACATATAACATCTGCACTAAAGACCATGGGAGGGAAACAGGCCTATCGAGCTATTTTGACATTGGCTTCTCCTATTGAAGTGAGAGAAACATATCCTATCTTAACTCATCATCTTGAAAAGATTTGCTTTTCATATTTACATTAGAGCCGGTTGGAGGAACAGTTCATGGGTTTGTTGAAAAGAACCCAAAGAAAACTTGGAAGTAAGCAAACACTTTCTTCCGGCTGTCACTTTGCCTTTGTATATGTCATGCCCCATCCAATTATCCATTAAAACATCCATCCATGCTTTCATTCATCATAATTCACAGGATGTCACTCATTTGGCAGTAACTATCCAGGGGCATAAATATAAAGTAAGCCATCCTTACTGGTGTAAAGAAGATAGAAATTTCCACAGATAGTTATAAAATACTCCAGAAGCACCCTGATACGGACAGCTTCGAGCTTGAACTCTGGGCCTGGGTGCTGTCCCTCAGCTCTTCAGCTCAAGGCTGGAGCTCTACCACTTAAGCCACAGAGCTGCTTCCAGTTCTTTGGTGGTTAATTGGAGATAAGAGTATTTTAGAAATATTTTAAAAGATGGTAATACAATTGTTCAACATGCTGATCATTTAACCATTTTCTAATCTTTAATTGCTTATTTATTCTTTGTCAACAACTGGATAACATATGGGTTCCCATTATCTCTATTTTTTTTTAAAGTGAATTGCCCAAATGGTACAATTGAGAAATATGAACACTGACTTTGAAATGTCTAACTCCATTGCTCAATTTTTTTTTATTGTAAAAATACCATACAGAGGGGTTACAATTACACGGGCAAGGTAATGAGTGCATTTCTTATCAAGCATTGTTACCTCCTTCTTTAACGACAAGCCTAAGCCAGAAATTTATTTCTATGAACAACGATTAAAATTTCCACAATCATAATTTTTGAATAGTACCTTATTGTTCCATGGAGCAGTAGACATATGTGTACCATTAGTGATAGAGGCAAGCTTTTATTATTGGAAAACTAGATAACCAGATTCATGTTCTTATTTTAACCTTACTTCCTACCATCTTTAATTCCATTTTCTTCTCTTTTGAAGTCACAAAACTCTGTTAATCATAGTACATCACCAATCTACCCTTAATTATATAGAAAGTGTTGAAAAATTATCTTTTGGAACCTTAGCCTTCAAAGTAGACTGAGAATCTCAGACAAAATGTTTGGTGCCATGTCTACTTAGCAGAAGCTTTGCTTGCTTTAATGCTTTGAGAAATCTTGGAAAGGCAAGCAACTCAAGCAGGCCAGCAAGACAAATTAGTCAAATATGTATGGCTTTGGACTAATAGATAAAACTGGGCTATTTATGACAATTGATAAAATACTGATTCATTGTTTTAAATCATCTAAACATTGTAAGACTTGTAAGTACTATAGTTACTGTTTAGACTGACATGGCTCCATGTCAAAAAAGAAATATTTGAAAGTATTGTCTTTTCAAAATGTGATATGGAAGCTAAAAGCAATTTTCTGGGACGATTTAATATTTCAAGCAGGCAGAAAGTGAAGATCTGATCTTTTATGATGTTAATGGCTTGCAGTGATTTCCCTCTGTATTCTCTTCAATGTGCAGTAGTGGGAAACAGGCTTTCTCTTTTCAGTTCATAAGTTTCTGAAGTCAAATGCACTATACCCAGCTTATTTTCATCCAAAAACTCAAACCATTAAATTGTAAGTTTTATTATACTATATTAAAAATTGGTTTCTGAACTCCTAATTCTTAGAAAAAGACTGTAACAAACATGCTGAACCTTTTTCAACTTAAGGTTATGGAAAAATAATTAATGTCCACAAAGCTAATCATTTCAATTTGTACGGAGCACAAAAGCATAAAAACTATGTGAATTAGATTTCCCTTTTTTGTTTGGGTTTAAACCTCCGTAATATGTTAAAAAGGTGTTTAATGCTTGAAAGCTTTGACCTTGCCTGGGATAGGAGCCAATTCAATCTTTTCTTGGAAAGAGTTAAGCCAGAGTCCTACAATCAATACATGCCACAGGCAAAGCAAATGCAGTGGAGCTTTGACTATGGGAAGGCCATGCCAGATGGCACAGACCACACAAAACTGGCAAATGAACTTTTCAGGACTCTCATGTCTCAGATCATTCTGAAACTGACCAATAATTATCTGGAATGTCCTTCATGTCTTCAGCAAAGGCTTTTTTATTTTACTTCTGATTATAGATAAAATACTAAGTGTGCTTTTCTCTTCTTAAATAGATAATTGAAAAGTAGCATGATCAAAAGTTAGTGATGCCAATAGCAATAAGTAGAAGCCAATAATCATATCATAAGGAAATATTATCCAACTTCTGTGTATTTTGCTTTGGGATGTTCCAGTCTATTGATAATAAATGGTAAATGATTGCACAGTCAAATACATACACATATATATTCAATAAAATTTTATAGAGAAAATATTACATATGTACAGTAGCTAATACAAAATATAAATGTATGTATTTTGTCTGTAAAGTGCATCCAAGACATAAGAATAATGCATATTACATGCCAAACACTATTCTAATATGGGTGCATTAGCTTAATCTTAATAAAAATTCTTAAAGTTAAGAACATATTTCAGTCCATGCTGGCTGGCGCCTCAACTTCTCTGCATCTCAGCTTCCAACTCAGTAACCTTCTGGGTAAATTCTACCTCCTCGAGGAATTTTTTTCTCTGGGCCTTTAAGATACAGTCTCAACATCCCTTAATATTTACATGTCACCTATTGTAACAGTGAGATGTACAAGACACTATGTTGAAAAATGAATTTTGCCGGGCGCTGGTGGCTCACGCCTGTAATCCTAGCTACTCAGGATGCTGAGATCTGAGGATCGCGGTTCAAAGCCAGCCCGGGCAGGAGAGACCGTGAGACTCCTCTATCTCCAATAAACCACTAGAAAACCGGAAGTGGCGCTGTAGCTCAAGTGGTAGAGCGCTCGCCTTGAGCTGAAGAGCTGAGGGACAGGCCCAGGCCCAGAGTTCAGGCCCCATGACCGGACCCCCCCCCCCCAAAAAAAAAGAAAGAAATGTCCTCATTACTTTGCTCATGTAACTGTAACTCCTCTATACAGTATTTTTACAATAAAAACATATTTTAAATATTTACATACCACTAGATGCCTACAGTTAAATGTTAATGAGTTATTGTTGCACTCTGTTTCTTATTTTTTATCTGTATAATGAAAATAACAACCATCTCTTCTTTGTAGTTGTTTTAAGATTGTTAGTCAATACATGTAAAGTGTTCAACACTCAACAAACATATCATTATTATTCCTTTCTTCTTGCCTTATTTTGTTATCTATATATGCTTGATTTACTTCTTATAAATCATTTGACTGCTCCAGACACTCTTTCTGTTGGATGACTACGCCACACTATGCTATACCTAACACTATGTATTCAAAATTATGATTAGTTTCTTCTAGCACAAATTAGCTTTATTTTTCTCAATTTTCTTGTTTTGATCACTGCCTCTATTATTCAGATCACTGGAGTTGAAAGTGATAGATTCCAAAGTCTCCTTAATCCAATGGACTCAGTGACGACTGAAATTCTGAGGCACTTTGACGACATGTTCCATATTGTAATCGTCACGATTTCCTCCGATATAATACAGAAGTAATGCCTAAGAAAGCTAGCTGAGTGAAAAAATAAGTGAATGAATAAACTAGAATTAAAGAGGATGAAATCCTAGCTAGAGATTATGTTGAAGACAAAGAGAAAATTGAGACATGTAAAGGATTAGTAAATGGGGGCGGGGAAGGGACAAGAAGAGAAGGGTGGGACTTAAAATTTGTAATCTGGGTGGTGATTCATTTCCTGTTGATGAACATCAACAGCTAGGTAGCTGTTGCCAAATTAGAGGACGAGCCTCCCAGAGAGCAATTGTCCCTTTCCTAGTCTCTCATAGAAAAGCCTGCCTTAGGTCCTTTGATTCTGAGGCAGTACCTGAGTAATTTGTCCTTTGATTGACAGGTGTTCTTGTACCTTTTGGCAAATTGTGCTCCAAATGGAATGCCTTACAGAAAACCCTGAGGTTGTTCCTTTAGTCAGAGTTTATTTCTGTCCCCACATTGCCTGCTCCCACTGTTGTTTCCTCCACACCTTTAGCCCACGCTCAAAGTGCTTTAATTCACAGTTGATGGAGGAATGATGGTCCCTATGGTCCAGGCCTTATACCATCAAGGTGCTACTTTAACGATATGCCAATTACAGTGATTGCGCTCCAAAGGTAATTCCATTATAGATTCTTTTCTATAGTGGTCTCTGGAGAAAAGGAATGTGTTTTCAAATAAATACTACTGTATATGTACAATAATTGAACTAAATGTGAGACTTTAAGGTATTTGGCTAATTTTTCCATATGGAAAAGAAATGATTGTTGCTGTCAGAAAGAGTAACTGTGTCCCATTCTCTTCTTATTATTCATGACTAAAAAATAAACAAATAATGTGTAATCCATATACTAGGAACCAAAACTGTGCCTCAATTATAAAGGTGAGCAATCAAAAATAATTATTTTGAGGGCTGGGAAGGTGGCCCAGTGGTAGAGTGCTTGCCTCACATGCATGAGGTCCTGGGTTCGATTCTTCCACAATACATAAGCAGAAAAAGCCAGAAGTGGTTCTGTGGCTCAATTGGTAGAGAGCTAGCCTTGAGCTGAAATGCTGAGGGACAGTGACCAGGCCCAGAGTTCAGGCCCCATGACTGGCAAAAAATAATAATAATTATTATTATTATTTTGGTATATATGTATGTAATAGTAGTCTATTAAAATGATATAGTTAAACAAATACAATTCAAAAGCTTTCCCTAAATTTCTATTCTTATATTCTTGCAATTTCAACAAAATAAAAAATTTAGAAATCCTTAGTCATGAAATGGCCTTCAATTTTGGAAACAGTAGTCACTAAAAACTTACATTTACGTAAATGCCTATTTCCATTTCAGATAAAGAATTTTAGAAGTTCACAAAGATAGAAGTAGAAGTTTTTAGGCTCTTTTAACTTTGGTGAGACCCAGAAATGGGTGACTATTATTTTTCTATCTCACTTAATTTTTTACAAGTAAATAATGTAACTGTGATGCAATTTAATTAAAAGCAATTCAAATATGAGTAACAGGGAAATAATACTATGTCTGAATTAACTTTTCCCAATTTAATTTATTTTTCTTCTAGCAAGCCTATAGAGCTATCTATAGTGTTTCTGCTTTGAAACTTGTCAGACAGATGTTTCTTTAAAACAAATCTAATTTGCACTCGCCTTTGCTTTCTGGTTGCTTGTCAGGTGTTTTGCAATATGGATGTGAATGGAGGAGGTTGGACTGTAATACAGCATCGTGAGGATGGAAGTCTAGATTTCCAAAGAGGCTGGAAAGAGTATAAAATGGTAAGTTGGAAGAATTTGCAATATTTTATAATGTTTTATCCTAAGATTATCTTCACCACATTACAAGATAAGCCTTTACATTTTTAGAGGCTCTTGAGTAATTTAAAAATATTAACTAATAGTAATGTTACTGACATTATTTTCATTAGACACAAAATACTCATAAATCATTTTCTGTAAATGATTCCCATATGTACATGAGAAGGAAAGACGTTTTGCTGGAGTTATTTGGTGAACTGTTGTGAATTGTGTGGGGTTGTTCCTAGTTGAAAGAGGGATGAAGCAAGCTGGAACCCGCACTCAGATTGGACAATTTTTTGAACAGGAATTCCTCCATGTATCCTTTTCATTGCCTTAGGCTGGCTTCAGTGACCGAGGTTCATCAGATTTCCCAGGTCACATTCAGCCACCCCACACATAGAAATACAAGTTTTCAGCTTTTCCAATTCTTACTGGACCCAGAAATGGCACTATGATATTTTTTATTGCATACTAGTGGTTAAATTTGATCACAAAGCAAGTTCAGCTTTAAGGTAATAGAGTTATACAGGGCGAGAATTTCAAAACATGGTTCATTGGGTTCTCTAAAAATAACAACAATGTCACTATCATCAACATCATCATCATCATCATCATCATCTTCATCATCTCTAATCATTTTAGTGTTTGTCTTTCTGTATAAATCCTTACCCAATGCTTGACTATGTATGAACAAAACCCAGTACTATTGTTGTTAATAGATATACTAATTATTAATTATTTCCAATAAGAATTGAATTCCTTTAAAGTAGCAAGTCATGCCACTCTTTGGTAGAAAAACCTGAGAAAGTAGATGGTCAACATTCAGGATAGTTTTAGAGAATTGTGATGTTAGGTCAATTCCCAAGGTCCCTTTCTGCTTATAGAGTCTAGAAATTATAATAGCAAATTACCTAATCTATAAAAGATTAAAATATCTGAATGTCCAAAAAGTTTTCTTTTTCTGCTCTTTCGTAATCCTTTTTAATTCATGGTTATTCATACTAGTAATGGAAATATGTGAAATTCACTGAGATTCACAAAATCTAAATGCATTATCATTAAATTTAATTATTACAGAAAAATGGATAGCTTCTGTCACTGTGATTTTTCCAAATGGAGAATTATTACTGTAAAAATGTGCTATCTGACAAGCCAGCACATTAACTAAGAGATACTAACTTGTTAGGTATGAAACTGATTCATTTTTCAAAGTACCAAATGCATCCATTTTTAAAGAAATCTCTTTTTTATTAGTGGAACAAGGCTGGCATTATCCCTTTAATAATAGATTTTTATAAAGTTTAGCCATTCTCCATTTTAAATAACAAAGACTATTGTGATTTATTCAAACAAAAAATAATTTATCACTCAGAGTCAATTATTCATGGTCAGAAAATGAGCTCATATCCAAAATTCTAAAACATTTTGGCACAACTGATTCTGAAAACTTCGTTTTAATAGGAAGACTTCATCCTATATGACCAACTTGGTTAACATTCACCACAATGCATGGTTTAAAAAAAAAGTGTTTCAGCTGCTTCTATCAATTGTCATGCTAAATCTTAGTAGTCATATCCACTTTGATTTCCTGTAACAAACCACTCAGTTCTTCAGCTGAAGGGCACAACATTTGGGAAAATGCACCACTTCCTCCCCAATCTTCCCTAGTCTACTATTGGATAATCAAAGAGTTTATATTACTGCACTGGATAGTAATGTTTCTCACGTCTCCCTTCCTGCCTTTCCTCTCTTCTTCCTTTCGTACCCCTGGATCTATGGGCATGTTTAACCCATGAGGTTTCCATAATTATAGGTTAAAGCTGGAAGTGGCGCTGTGGCTCAAGTGGTAGAGTGCTTGCCTTGAGCTGAAGAGCTGAGGGACAGTGTCCAGGCCCAGAGTTCAAGCCCTATGACCGACAAAAAAAGTTAAATCAATCAGCACATGAAATTACAGATATGTATTATATATTATTATTTATTTTTAAAACCTCTTTCAACATGGAAGTTTTGAATTTATTTGGAACTCAACATTGGCTGTAAGCCTGTGAAAGACTCTCACCTGAGCTTGGCTTTTACTTAACCTACCTTCTTAGGAAGAGATCCAGCAACTGTTTTCATAGATTAGTGAACATGTTTGCTGAGAAGGAAGTCGATAGAGGTCTTTTGTTTGTTTTGTCTGCCTTGGGGTTTGAACTTAGCCTGGGAACCTCTTTGTGTTCAAAGCTAGAGCTCTACCACTTGAGCCACAGCACCCCACTTTCAGCATTTTCGGGGTAGTATATTGGAGATAAAGAGTCTTGTGGACTTTTCTGCCCAGGATGGCTTCAAACCACAATTCTCAGATCTCAGCCTCCTAGTTTTTAAATGCATTTTAATGTAATCACTGTTAAAAGAGAACAATATAAAAATTATAAATAGTTTTTGAAATAAATAATTCTTCATATTATTCATGGGTTGGATGTCTCAGCAGTTAAAAGGATACTTCTACCTCAGCTTAAATTGTCCATTCAAACACCTTTAGATATTCAAAGCTTAGTCTTACGAAAGAAAGCTGAAACCCCTGGGACACAGGGGCTATGTCTGGTTTCAATTTCATTTTTCTATAAAAAGTCAACACTTCTGTGAGGATTATCAGACAAAACAGTGTTAGATATAATCACTATTAATTTGGAAACAGCAAAAGCTGAAATTGAACACTTCTGCAGGTTTTAGCAAAAACTAATGAGTGATGGTCTTTCCCTTAATCTGCCTTATGTCTTTCCATCCTCCCTCCCTCTTTCCCTTCCTTCCTTCCTTCCTTTTCTCCTTCCTTTCTTTTTCCTTCCTTCCTTTCTTCCTTTATTTCTTCCTTCCTCTATTCCTTCCTTCCTTTCCTTTCCTCTCCTTTCCTTTCTTTTTCTCTTTCTTTCTCTCTTCCTGTCTTTCAGTTAGCATTATTTTCAATTAAATTCCAAGTTTGTTTCCTTTACTCTCATTAAACATCCAGAGGAGGAATAGTGTTGATTGGCGTTGGGCCTGAGTTATGGTGTCAGTCTTTCATATGATTATTCTAGACTGAACATGGTTAGTTTTCATGAAATTATATATCCTTGGATTTTTATTCATGAAATAGAAAAAATTACATTTCTTGTTTATTATTATCGGTTAATAATTGCTCTTTTTTTTCTGTCGGTCATTGGGCTTGAACTCTGGGCCTGGGAGCTGTCCCTCAGCTCTTCAGCTCAAGGCGAGCGCTCTACCACTTGAGCTATAGTGCCATTTCCAATCATTGCTCTTAATGGAGCACATTGTTTCATAAAGGTTTTCTCTTATTTGTGTATGTTACATAATCTTTGTGATAAATATACCTGAGATAAATTCTATTTTAGATACAAAAACAAAATTTGTCTCCTGATGTGGAGCCCATTATGAAGCAGTGATTTTATGCCTGCTCTACTTTATCTGATTAAGATATCTTTTGGAAGGGTACCTGGAACATTTATTCCTCTCCTTTTTATATTACTTTCCCTCTTTGGTTTATAGCAGATTGATCTGTAATTCCTCTTAATTATACCTATTTCTAAATCCATTTCAGACACAGTGAGTGCACATCTCCATGGTGAAACTAAGTCATCTCCATTAAAAAAAATCTCCACAGTTCTTTCTGGTATGCATTTCAAGCTGAAAGAAGCTATCAGAAGAAATAATTTACTAGTATGAGTAGAATATCTTAAAATTACTCTTTCATAGATCCTAGTGTGTGAAATGTAAAGAGAAAAGGATTAAAGAAATAAGACCAGAGGAGAGTTAAAGGAGACAGGTATACAGCATTAAAGACCATTGGTAAGGATGAGGAGGTAGTCTCTGCTTTCATTTCTATCACTTTTGTAAATAATTGGTTTGAATTTTTCACAGAATAATTTCTCAAATTAAAATGACAGTTGGGCACATGTGTCTAATTCCTATACCCCTCACTACTCCAAAAGCTATCATCTGAGGATCAAGGTTTGAGGGCAGCATAAGCAGAAAAGTCCATGGAATTCTTATCTGTAATCACCAAAAAGCCAGAAATGGAGCTATGGCTCCAGAAATAGAGCACTAACCTTATGTACTCAAGGGACAGCTCCCAGGCCTCCACAGCATAAACACATACAAACATACACACATACATACATACATACACACCCATCACCAGTTCCAACACCACCATCAACAATAACCCCCTTTGTATAAACTAACACTCCACTTGTCATCCTAATACATTAGTTCCCAGTATATAATTATAAAAGAGGTGACAATCATAATTCACTGTACTCATAAGCTGATCTGTTGAACTGAGACTTCTTTGTACAACTACTTAAGGATAATAATATTTTTAAAAACATTAAACATGCCTTTTAAATATTTTTTCGATATTCTCTCATTCATGTTTAGCAGAAGCAAGACACTGGAATATTTTGTTTCCTGGTTCATAATATATAGAAAGGGTCCTGCATATCCTAAAATATCTCACAATCTCATGAAAGAAAGGCAATGAAACAGAAAACACTGTGTATTATGATATATCTTCTAGCTATAACAACAAATAAATTTAGCTAAGTGCTTTTCGTCTCTCAGCACTTTGTTAAGTGCTTTCGGTAAATTGCATTCTCACAACATTATACATGGAGATGATTTTTTTTCCAATTCATGCTTTTCAGATAAGGAAACTGAGGCTCAGAGTAAAGTAGGAAGTTCCACAGTAAATATGTGACATAGGAAGGCTTCAAACTGGAGCAGAGATAAAGTTATTTAATGCAACCAAGATGTTATTTCTACATGTTAGATCTTTGATCATTCCTGATAAATTACCCAATAGACAGCTGACTAATATGAGAAGACATTTCCATTTCCCCTCTATTAAAATAAAACATTTTCATTTGTATGATGAAATAGTACTGCTTCGCTACACTTGGCTATTAGAAGATTTTCTTCCCTCCCACAGCTCTCTACCAGCCATATTGATTCATTGTCAAACAATTGTTTATATGGGTTTTGGTTTTTGTTGTTGTTGGGTTATTGGGTTTTTTTTTGAGAAGTTATATAATATTAAAATGTAGTTCCTAAAGCAAATTTTCCTTACTTCTTCTAGTAAATTTTTAGTCAAATTTTGAGAAAAGTCAGTACATTTTCTGTTTTTCCTGAAAGAACAAAACCAGCAAACTGTTTAGTAAGCGCTATTTTTGTTCACTCCAGGGGAGCACACGGTTCAGCGTGCTAAGAATGGAGGCTTTTGGAGGAATGACTATGTATTTATCCACATCTGAGGTGCACCCCAGTTCACTGCCCTTCTCTCTGGGGAAGCCAGAGAGTTTTATCCACACCACGCTTCCAACAACATGGAAATATGTGACCTAAAACTTAACACTTCATCATTCCCAGACTCTTTACTCAGCTTAATATAATTCCTTAGCCTCTTTTACAGTGGCTATAAGAAAGGGGAGTTTTCAGTGGATAAAGGGGAGAAAGTGGCCATGTCTGAGCTGAGAAAGACTGTAGGGGAAATCCCGGGGGTTTTCAGCCTCTTCCCAAGGGCTGCTACATCGGAGGTCATGTTAACTCTTGAATTTTCACCTCCTGTGACTCTGGATGTTTCTTAGGCATTCAAGATAAGATTTGTTCTTAGAAGTTGGTATAAACTGCCATAAGAAAATGTAAAATTCTTAGCACAAAAAAAAAAAATTGCTATTTCCTGCTAGTGCTGTGTCTTTTTTTAAAACAGTGACTAGAGCATCAAAAACAAAGACCCAAGAAGCCACTGGAATGCTAACTTGAAGAAGTCCTATATTTTTCTCTATGCTATAGGGAGATGGTCTTCAGAGGAGTAAATGCACAGTGTACACCAGACTAAAGGTGTTCAATTAATCAAGAAACTATGTTAAATTGAGGAAATCACTTTGAAATATATATATATATATGCATATTAATATATTTCATTTTAACTTTAGATATAAAGATATACATCCACTTATACTGTTGATTGTTGTGTTGTTGAATGTAGAGCCACAGTCTGAGATTCTGGGTCAGGAGTTCTCTCATAAGCTTTCTTGTAATAGAACACATTAAATCTCTAATTTTAAGTCCCTTAAACAATACTGAAAGAGACTTGAAAAGCACTCTATTTTAAATGTCTAGAAATTTCTTATCCTTTCTTATCTTAACATCTAAGTTTTTAAAAATTAGAGACAAAGCATTTAAATTAGGCTTTTAATTTTTTTTAAAGTAAAACCTCTTTCCCTCACTAATATATAACATACTTGGATATTATATAACAAAAATTGTTGTCATAATAGCAGAACTGACAAAAATAAGTTTGACATCAATCATTGCTGGTCTTTGGGAAGTAATTACATTTCAGAGACAATAGGGCATGGTGTATTTAATGCAATTTTAGTACACTGTGCACTTAAGTGCATTTTAAAAAAGAAATGGAGAATGCTGATTCATTTATTAGGTTTGGTAAACGTATAGTTCTAAAAAACTGATATACATTAAGTTTGGAAAGAAGCAACAGTTTTCAAGTTTTATGTGTAGTGAGAAAATAAGGAAGGCTTTTATTATTTTTAGTACTTTTCATTGTACTTTTAAATGTAGATTGAAACTTTTGTTAATGAATGTCACTTTTTGGCTTGGCGCTGGTGCTCATGCCTATAATCCTAGCTATTCAGGAGGCTCATAGTTCAAAGCCAGCCTAGGCAGGAAAGCCTGTGAAACACTTATCTCCAATAAACCACCAGAAAACTGGAAGTGGTGCTGAGGCTTAAGTGATAGAGTGTTGGCCTTGAGCTGAAGAGCTGAGGGACAGTGCCCAGGCCCAGAGTTCAAGCGCCACGACCAACAACCAAAAAAAACAACAAAAAATAAATGCCACTTTTCATTGTTCAGATTAATAGCCATATTGGTCTAGTACAGTTAAACTTATTTTTTTCCATTTGTACGAGGTAAATGCACTCTGTTGAATATGTAAGTTCTTATCTCCGTGGATTTGATTCAGGAAAGGATAAAGTATTCTTATTTATTTATTTATTTATTTTCTGGTGGTTTATTGGAGATAAGAGTTTCATGCCTTTTCCTGCCTGGGTTGGCTTTGAACCATGATCCTTAGATCTCAGTCTCCTGAGTAACTAGGATTACAGGTGTGAGCCACCAGTGCCTGGCCCTAATAAAGTATTATCTAAATAATGAAAAACATGCCACATTTAACTAGAATCCATTTGTTTGTGAAACATCAACGTCTGTCTCATAATAACTGGAATGTATCTTCTAATATAAATGTGCATGAGGCAAATCAGGGACTTTCTTCATATGACACTTAAGTGACTTCCCTCAGATACTTGACTGAATGTGGAGTCAGGCATTTCTTTTTCAACCAGAGTTACAGTGGGCAATTGGATTCAACCACATTATCTATTGTAAGGTTACTTCCCTAAAGGGGCACATGAAATGAATTCCTCCCTCTGTTGTTTCTTATCTTCCTTCCCTCCCTTCCCTCCCTTCCTTCCCTCCCTTTCTTCCCTCCCACCCTCTCTTCCTTCCTTCCTTCCTTCCTTCCTTCCTTCCTTCCTTCCTTCCTTCCTTCCTTCCTTCCTTCCTTCCTACCTTCTTCCTTCCTTCCTTCCTTCCTCCTTTCTTTTCCTCCTTCTTGCCTTCCTGTTTCCCCTTTTCTTTCAACTTCAATAAAGACTTACATGCTCAGTGTATGCTAGCTGTCCAGTAGGGTTTTATCCATAAACAAACCATAGTTTTATTGGTAAAGGGCTCATATGTGACTAAGTAAGATACTCATATACACAAGAATTAAACTGATCTTCAGGCATTACCAAGAAATGCCTTCTAAAGAAATCATGAATACATAAAATGTAAAATCCCACCTGTTTCTTAGATTTGTTTATGTCCCTGTCACTGATATCTCCAACATAAAGAGGTGGATCACTTCTGGTGAACCACCATGTTTGTTTCTTCCTATGAAGAAACTATTTTGAGGACTGGGAATTGTCTTAGTGGTAGAATGCTTGTTAGCATGCATGAAGCCCTGGGTTTGATTCCTCAGTAACACATAAAAAGAAACAGTGGTGCTATGGCTCAAATGGTAGAGCTCTATCCCTGAGCAGAGAGAGGCTGAGTTAGAACCCCAGGCTTGGCAAAAAAAAAAAAGAAAAAGAAAAGAAAAGAAACTATTTTAAATACTAAAAAAACACTGCTCTCAAGAAAATTATAATAGCATTAAACTGAGATTCAAATGTCTCACAGTCTTCTCCAAACACTCCATCCCATTGAAACAATATAAATGATTTCAGTCATGGATTTATAGGTTTGGGTATTAATATTAAAAGATAACATTCAGCCAAGTGCCAGTGGCTTATGCCTATAATCTTACCTACTCAGAAGGCTGAGATCCGAAGAACATGATATGAAGCCATTCTGAGCAGGGAAGTCTATGAGACTCTTATCTCCAATAAACTACTCAGAAAAAAACAGGTAGTGGCACTGTGGCTCAAGTGGTAGAATGCTTGAGCAAAAATTCAGGATCACTGCATTGTCCCAGTCAAACCCCAAGACTGGGAAAGAAACGATGAGTCTATTAACAAGTCTAATGATCTATAAAGTATAGGGGCATAATTAGATTCCTGAATCAAAAAACAAAAACAATGTTATTAAATAACTTGTTTTGTAGCGTACTTCCTAGTAGTCATTAGAAACTGTTTTAAGTTACACTCAAAATATTATCTAGCACCTTAGAAACATTCTCAAAAGCAAATAAAATGGCAAAGTGTTATCTCATTACCCTTACACCTAGGCAAATTCATTTTGAAAACTATTCTGTGCATGTAGACTTGATTAGCAGATGTGTTACTACATAAAGAATGATACATCATTGGAGAGATACATAGCAAAAGAGCGTTGAAATAAGTCAGTAACTGAAATATATATATATATATATATATATATATATAAATGTCTAAGAGGAGTATCTTTCTTTTCAAGTAATGACTTTTATTGTTATTTAGAAAATCAATGCTGAACATTCAAAAAAAATCTGTCTGGATTACAAATGCGTTTCTGTCTTCTTTCCCAGGGTTTTGGAAATCCCTCTGGTGAATATTGGCTGGGGAATGAGTTTATTTTTGCCATCACCAGTCAGAGGCAGTACACCCTAAGGATTGAATTAATGGACTGGGAGGGAAACCGAGCCTACTCACAGTATGACAGATTCCACATAGGAAATGAAAAGCAAAACTATAGGTAAGTCACATCTCAGGGCAGAACTCAACTGCCTTTAACCCAGCCACTGAGGAGTTGGAGTGGGAGCATGTGGAAAAAAATGAATGGTTAAAATAGGCCTTCAAGATGAAAATTGGGTTGTTTGTATAGGCCCATGACAAAGAATACAGGGAGCCTGTGAAGGTTTCTTGAAAGCTTTAAATATCAGTTTTCATAGACTGACTGACTACCTTTGATGTTGACTTAAATTCTAGAATTAAATCAAGGATAATATTATTGTTGTTGGTGTGCCCTTAGTGCTATGAAGGTGTAAAAGGCTCACATATATGACTGCTATCAGAAATGATGGTGGTCTGAAAAAATAATCTCTCCCTTTTGCTCAAGGATTTTCTACTTCTACTTTATTTACCTTTCTTACGTTTATTTTTCAAATTATCTTGAAGAAAAGAAGGATTATGCCTGGTGCATTTGAAAGATTTGCATAAAAGAAGGGATATACGACATATTTAAGAGGGTTTTCTTTCACTGTATAAACAGTGTAAAGGGCAAACATAAATTCAACTCACGATATGAATATGCATAGTACAAGGTATGTGGGAGTGTGTCTGCAAGTGTACAGATCTGAGTTTTCAATGCTAGTTTCACCAAAAATAATATATATCTATAAGTCTGTCTAAAAGATGAGATATGCAAATAGAGTAAGACACTTGCTTTTTAATATTTCTAATTTTTAATTGCACAGCTTTGGGCTGGGAAGGTGGCTCAGTCATTAGAGTACTTGCTTTTTAATGCATGAGGCCTTGGTTTGATTCCTCAGCACCACATAAGTGAAAAAAACCAGAAGTGGCACTGTGTGTGGCTCAAGTGGTAGAGCACTAGTCTTGAGCTGAAGAGCTGAGGGACAGAGTTCCAGCCCCATGACTGACAAAAATTAAATAAATAAATTGCACAGCTTACACACTATGATTTTTTTAAATTACAACTGAGACAATAATGTCATTTTTATTCTTTGAATACTTATTCTATTACTTCGATGTTCTAGGAAATCTTCTAGGCATTGGCTATTTGGTAGTCAGTGACAAGTTATCTAGTGTTACAGAACTCACTGTCAAGCTTTGCTATAAGGTCATAAAGGCCTGATTGGCATTCCTTTGTGAAACATGGGGAGGATATTTCATTCAAGTTTTTATCACTACCATTAATGGAATAGTTGGCATATTGGAAGTCATTAACTGTACATGCTGTAATTCTATACTTAGCAATTTTGACTTTCAGTATTGTGATTACGTCTGCCTTAGAAACATGGTTGTATGTGTTAAAAGATGGCATTGCTTTTCAAGTAACTGCAGTGGTAACAACCAACCAAAACCATGTGCTTTGTTCCATCCAGAGGGTATGTCCTCACAGTGCAATTGTTTCTTTTCCAGACATAACATTCCTTAGGAATTGAAATCTGTACCTTTTCCATGGCATGATTCATTTCATTTTAATAGATTGTATATAGAGTTAGGTCCTTGGAGACGTAATAATCATTTTCTTCACAAATAGTGAGTATGTCACCCCAACAGATGAGAAATAGATCTAAAGAGTTGACATTCCCCTGACAGCAACTCAAGGAACCAGAGACATTTATTATATGCAATGGAGTGTAAGGAGAAATGTTTCTAAGGAAGTCAATATTTTGAGAGTTTTATAACACACACACACACACACACACACACACACACACACACACACACACACACACACACACCGCTGTAAAACATCAGGTTGATTGCACGCACATGTGTAGCTAGAGGAATGTTAAGGAGACCATGTGTATGGGCAGATTTAGGAGTACAACTGGCATTTGTTGTGGATGTTGGGTATACATAGTGAATGTGGCTGTGGCATCAGCATGAGGAAGAGGCACCAATCACCTCTTCGAGAGCCTTCATTTGCCTCACTGAGCTTTTCTCATTCTGACCATGGCTATGATTTCTTACTCTCGTCCATGTTATATAAACCTAGGTCTTTCTATCTAGGGTAAAATACAAACTCATATCCTCATTTTTCTTCCTTGAGAGATTTGTGCACATTAAGAATATGAATTTAAAAGCTAGAGATCAGAATTAGGAGGCTGCACTTTATTTCCATATCTCTGATTTCATAGGAAAGAAAGCTGAGTTCTGGAAATATACACTATTTTTCATCAAAGAGAGAATGATTTTGTCAGTGTGGTTTCTACCTCTGTGCTGCTGTCATAGTGTAGATGACTCTGGATCCCTCTGCTATCAGAACCTAACAGAAGAGAGATCTGCAATCATCAGTTTCTTGTGTGATTAAATATACGGCTTACTTCTGGAAATTAGGCAAATTGGGAAATTAGACTTCCTGAGGCTCATAGATAATTAAGCATACTGCAAAACAGTAATTCACTCAAATAAAATGGAACAGAAGCTTAAAGGAGATGCTAGCCTTTTGAGGCTGGCCTCTCCACTTGCATCACTACTGGTCCTAGGCCAGTAATGCCACACCATGCCTCAAGCTTCAACTTGTCCATTATAGCCTGAAGGTGCTTCTCTGTGCTTTTTGGTCTCCCCTCCCCCCCTTCTCTCCTCTCCTCTCCCTTCTTCTCTCCTCTCTTCTCCTCTTTTCTCTTCTCCTTCTTCCTTCTCTTCCTTTCCTTTTTAATTCTTGTCTTATTCTCTTCTCTTTTTTCTTCATTTCCTTTTTCGTCTTCTTTTTTCTTTCTTTCTTCTCTTTCTTCTTCCTTTCCCTTCCCTTTTTTTCCTTTCCTTCTTTTTATCCTTTTCATTCCCTTTTTTGTTCTTTTCGTTTCCTTCCTTTAAGTTTGTCTGTTTGTTTGTTTTACAGAATTGGGGTTTGAACTCAACACTGCATGCACAAGCACCCTATCACTTGAACTGCAAGCCCCCAGTTCTTTTGACCTTTGCCTTTTTATTACTGCTAATTTGGTTTTCAGATAGACTCAATGCTTTTCCCCCAGCAAATCCTCCACATCCCTGGTAGCTGTGATTCTAAGTGTGTGCACCTATTCCTGACCTATGCAAAGTATTACTACTAAGATTTGTATAATATTTTATACATAATACTTATTATTAATGTTAATCAGTTCATAGACTGAAGTTTTATGGTGTGTGCCGTTAGACACAGTTGAAAAATCAGGAAAGCAGTTTCAATTCATTGATCTGTTCTGATTCAACTCTTTCAACTAAAATTAAATATTTAGAATTTATGTTAGATTCTTTTCATATTTTGCTACATTTTCCCTATTTTGAATTAAATTCAGAAGGGTTTGGGGTGTTTTCCTAAAAATAATTCCTTGTAAAATATTTTGAAATTTTATTTAGCTCTAACCACAATATATAGATTTAATTCTACAAAAGAGAAGAAACTACTTTCCCATGCTCTAGATTTATACTGATTAAAAGTAAGTGTTGTGAACGGATAGATGAAACTTCAAATGTGAAAATATAGTACATTTACTTTCCTTTTATCCTCTAAGGAAACTTAAATGATTTTCTCAGATAGAAAACAAAATCTACAAAACCCAAGAGAATATGGATAAATAATCATGTTGGAGTGTCATGATAACCGGGATGTGAAGTAACAACAATCACTGTGAAATCATTACTTACCACCCCAAGAGAGGTAGCTTTACTCAGATCCTCATCATCTAACACCCAGACTATTAGGGAGTCTTCTTGCCTCTAATTTTCATGTTCTCTGATGTATCTTCATGCTCTCCAATGTCTCTTACACACTACTGCTGTCTTGATTTTTTTTTCCAACAGACAATGAGGCTTGATATTTTTGCTCACCCATACACTTGAACAATGTCCACAGATCTACAAGTTAAAGTGGACCACTGACCTGGCTATTCCTTACTCAGCTATTACTGCTAAATACTCCCTCTAACCTTGCTCTTTTTTAGTGATTATATTCCAGTAACATTTTGCAAGTTCCCTAAGCTCTTAATGCATTTATTGTGTTCAACTTCATATCATGTGAATATTTTTATTTTCTTTTATTGTAAAGGTGATATACAGAGGAGTTACATAAGTTAATAATTAGTACATTTCCTTTTGAACAGTGTCTTCTTTTTCCTCATTTTTCTCTCAGGTTTTCCCTCCCTTTAAAATTGTGTAGTTTATTTTCAACATAGTGTCAAGTGAGTATCACTGTGGCATTTGTTCACCCTTTGTCTCACTATTTCTGTATTCCTCCTTACCCTCCTCAAACAGATAAACTTACATATAAGACAAAAGGTACAGAAAATAAAAACAGAGACAAGTAGAAAATAACCCCCCCAAAACAAAATAACAAAAATCCTCTTATTTCCATTTACTGGAGTTCATTTTGATAAACTTCATTTTATATGATCATGTTCACATAGCTTGAGCCCTTCTGATCCTCTCCTACGAATATCTTCCTTTGTTGTCCCTCTGTGAATTAGTCTAGAGCCCTGTATAATTTATCATGTCCAAATATACTTTTTGTCTTTTGCCATCCACCATGTTTATGTGTAGATTTATAGGCACATTCTAGTTACAACAAATGAGGGAAACCATGTAAGTTACTTTAGGTGTGCCTTAATTTGCTTATTAGTTTTTTTCTAAGACTTTCCATTTCCTAACAATGGTACAATACCATTGTTTTCTGATTGAAGCAGAGAATCCCATTGTGTATATATACACCACATTTGCTTGATCCATTCATCTGCAGAGAGGCATCTGGGCTGATTCCATATGTTGGCTGCAATGAACATGGTTGTGCTGGTAGCATTAGTGTAGCCTTATTTGTGGTCTGTTGGATAAATGCCCAGGAGTGGAATTTCTGGGTCATATGGAAGCTCTATGTTAATCTTTAAGAAACTTCTATATTGCTTTCCAAAGTGGTTGAATATTCCCACCAACAGTGTAATAGCATTCCCTTTTGGCTACATCCCTGCCAGTATCTGTTACTGTTACTTTTATCCATAGTGACCATTTTAACTGGGGCAGAGTGGAATCTCAATA